GGAGGGGGGAGGGGAGAGAGTCGAGGGTAGAGGAAGGGAAGAGGAAACAATTTGGGAGGGAGGTACGAGCTAGTAGATATTAGCTTCTTCAATCGGAACTTGGCCAGCACAGGAAGGGTATTGTGTGGATTTGAGAGATCCTGTTGATCGAGACGAGGCTGGATGTTATCCGTTCCAACCGACGGTTCTCATCCTTCTGTCTTGATGCTGCCAACAGGATGGAATGAAGGCAACATGCCGGGCGATCCATCGCGCACGATCTTGAGCCAGGAAGGGACCTTTGACATGTTATGAGCTCCTAGCGGTCAGGCATGAGGGTCCCTGTGCCTGCTGTCCTCCTCCTCCTCGTTTTCTCGTTGATCCCAATAGAGGTCGGAGGGGTGCTTGATGCGACTCTCGAGACAGACACACAGTCCTTGACCACGGTATACTTCTCCCTCGGCGGTCCAGGATGGCTGCGACGAGCGGGTACGATGACTGTAGGAGGAGGAGCATGCAGGAGTTGACGGCCTTGACAGGATGGGAGATGTTGGAGCAGGCGCATGACCAGTTCGTCGACGTGTTCGATGTCGACGGCAACCAAGTCCTTTCGCCCCAAGAGATTAAGGAAGGGCTGAATGTGAACTACGTCGGATGCAGATTCCCTCCCTGCTACCCGACTCTGACCGTCCCCAACCCGCTGTTCAAGATCCCGGAGCCTCCCAACAGATATTTCTTGCAGGAGTTTGGCTTCACGGACAGCGAGGTCCAGGCCTTAGTGGTCAAGGCAACCAGCGAACGTACAGACCCGATCCGAGGTCAAGCCAAGGTCTACAGTTATGTGATGTTTGCTGCCGCCTCCTTCTCCTGCACCTGCTGCTCCTCCTTCCCTATCTCAGATTCGACTCACTCACTCCCCCTTCTCGTCTCATTGGCTTCTCAACTTTCTTCTCTACTCCGGCACCTCCCTCCCCTCACTTCCCAAGGCCTCCCCTTCCCCTTTCCTCTTTCGCTTCTTTGCTGTATCCCTCTTCGCACAAGGCCCTTACGGCCTCATACAGATCGACGCGAGAGACAAGAGCTTGGATGGTCTTGTCCTCTTCAAAGAGTTCTTCTCGACCTTCATCGCCTCCGACCCTTGCCTCGACGGCTGGTACGGCGTGACCTGCAGCGATCAGGGTCGCGTCATAGGCCTCTCCTTGCAGTCTAACCAGCTCACGGGCATCATCCCTCCTGACATCGGCAACTTGACCCTCCTGCAAGGGCTCCACCTCGGCAGCAAGGACCGCAGCAGCCTGTCGAGCAACAACATCATGGGCGAAATCCCCAGCACCATCTCTCAAATGTTTGCGCTGCAATCGCTCTCCCTCGACCACAACCTCCTCACAGGCACCATCCCCGATGCCATTGGCGAGCTGACTAGCCTGACGATGCTGGACCTCGGCTGGAACCGCCTGCATGGCCCCCTGCCCAACATCACGCGGCTGACCGGGCTGAGCAGGCTCTACCTGGACCACAACTACCTCAACGGGACGGTGGAGGAGCTCAGTGAGCTGACAAGGCTGGAGGAGGTGGACATCAGCAACAACGACTTCGAGGGGGACCTGCAAGCCCCCCTCCTCGGCCTGCCCCTCCTCCAGTCCGCCTACTTCCACGCCAACCCCAAGGCTAGCCTGCACGCGCAATTCTCTCCTCTCATTGCTGGTCTCTCAGCCCAGTACGCCAACAACCTGGGGCGAACAAGCAGCTCAGCTCTCGTGCAGGACAAGGCCGCTCTGCTCGACCTTTACCAGAGCAGCGGGGGAGGCGGCTGGTTCATCAGGTTCGGATGGGAGGAGCCTCTGTCAGACCCGTGCCTGTCCTCCTGGTATGGTGTGGAGTGCGACGACGCGGGGCGGGTTATTTCCCTGCTTCTCAACGGGAACAACCTCACCGGCTTTCTGCCCCGCAGCGTCGGACATCTCGCGATGCTCTCAACGGCCAACTTCGCCAAGAACCGGCTGCAAGGCAGTATCCCTCCTGAGGTCGCCTCCCTCAACCGGCTGAGGTACCTGGACCTCTCCTCGAACCAGCTCGTTGGAGGGGTCCCTTCTGCCCTGGGAGCCGCGCGGGAGCTGGAGACGCTCTTGCTCAACGACAACTTCCTCACGGGCTCCCTCCCTCCCATCGCTGACGGTGCCTGGACTCGCATCCACAACGTGAACCTTGCGAGGAACAGGATGCAAGGCAGTATTCCTCCCTCCCTCGGCGCCCTCCGCAGCATCCAGTACCTTGACTTGTCGAGCAATCTGCTGCTGGGATCCTTGCCGGGGTCGATGGGGTCGATGTGGAGCTTGAAGGAGCTTCGGCTGCAGGACAACCAGCTGTTCTCCGAGCTGCCGGCACAGTGGGCAGGGATGACAGAGCTGCGGGTGCTCAATGCGGCAAGGAACAGGCTCTACGGGAGGATCCCAGGAGCATGGGGGCAGGGGATGCGAAACTTGAGGGCTCTCATCCTCCACTCGAACCGCCTGAACGGAGAGATCCCTCCCTCCCTCTTCAGCATCAGGTTCCTGCAGCAGGTGGTGCTGAGCAGCAACCTACTGGCCGGGGAGATTCCTTCCTCCATCGTGCAGGTGAGCAACTCGCTCGCCCTCCTCGACCTCCGAGACAACCGGCTGAGTGGCAACCTGCCGTCCAGCCTGGCGAACCTCAGCAGTCTCCTCTTCCTCGACCTGTCCTCCAACATGTTCTCCGGCTTCCTCCCTGACTACTTCAACACCTCCTCCCACCTCCTCTACCTGGCACAGTGGGGCAAAGTCCGTCTTGCCTCCAACGACTTCGCCTGCCCCGTTCCCACCCAAGGCGCTGCAAGATCTGCCACCTGCTCGACTCGCAACTGCCCGCTGGACTGGGTGAGCAACGGGACCTCCTGCGTCAAGTGCAGCCCGGGGTATAGCAGAGGTCGGGGGATGGAGAAGTGCAGCCGGTGCATGCAGGCGGGGAGGAAAGAGGAGGAGCGGGTGTGTGCGGTGTTCTCTGCGGACTGGCAGCGAGTTATGACGAAGCAGAACGAGACGGGCGCAGCTGTCAAGTGCATCCTCTGCTCTGAAGCAGCAGCTCTCAACCTTTACGTCCTCCCCGAGCTCGACGCTCAGTCGCTGCCGGGAGAGCCGGCAGGAGGGGCAGGGGGCTCTCAGCATGATGTCCTGAGCTACAACGGCAGCTCTGCGTACCCCGACGGCACGAGGTATGTAGGGGAGGTCATGCTTGGAGCCCCGCACGGTCGAGGGACGATGACGAGCCGGCGAGGGATGTACGTTGGGTCCTTCCAGCTCGGAAAGAGGAGCGGGAGGGGAACGTTCACAACAGTGGAGGGGGACGAGTTCGGGGGGGAGTGGGGAGACGGCGGGAGGTTCTTCGACAACACAGGGACGAACTGGGGAGGAGTTCTCAACGGGAAAGGGTACGCGCGGTACCGATCAAACGCCATGGTGGCCTTACGTGCGATTCTCAAGGGCGTGATGCGACCAGAAGAGGTACGGGAAGTTCCCTTCCTCCTCCTCCTCCTCCTCCTCCTCCTCATCATCATCATCATCATCATCATCATCATCATCATCATCATCATCATCATCATCATCATCATCATCATCATCACCCTTCCCTGACTACGAACATCACTTCCACCTGTTTCTGCTCCTCTTGCTCCTGCTCCTGCTCCTGCTGACCTGCAACCATCAAGGTGGGGACTGCGGGAGGAACGTATGAGGGGGAGTGGTTCGACGGGGAGTGGGAAGGGATGGGCTCTTTCTCCACGGCAAACGGCGACGTGTACTTGGGTGAGTTCCACAGAGGGAAGTACCACGGACGAGGGATGCAGGTACGCCAGATGATGATAGGATGAGAATCGAAGCTTCGCAGACCTTGAGTGGCCCCTGTAGGAACTGCAGCTTGGAGGATTCTACAAGGGCTGGTGGGTGGAGGGCAGGAAGGAGGGCAACGGGACGATGTTTTATGCCAACGGCGACATCTACGAGGGGGGCTGGTTGAGGGACACGCGCCATGGATGGGGAAAGTTGTGGTGAGCGTCTGCTGGGCTGTTGAATGCTCCAGAGCCTCACCAGCTGGTTCAGGTTTTGGGATGGAAGAGTCTATGAGGGGTAAATACCTGTCAACTGCTCTCACCTTCCCTTTCCCCCTGCCCCTTCCCTCTATCTCTCAAACTCTTCCCGTCCTTCCTCCCTTCCACAAGGGCCGGTGAAGATGACTGGCACAGGTACTGGCGCTATGGTTTAAAGCACGGCTGGGGTAGAGAAACGATACAGGTCCTCCTTCTCTCCCCAGCTCTGCCTTACCTGACGAGCTGGCAGAGGACCGGGCAGGTCTTCGAGGGGAAGTGGCAGGACGGGTTGCGATATGGGCACGGAGCGATACACTATGGTAGGAGACCCGGCAAGTGGGGCGAGGAGCTGACCAGCTGCAAGGCAACGGCGATGCTTTCTATGGCAACTTCGTGGACGATGAGCGGCAAGGAGACGGTGATCCGTTTCTCCTCCTTCCTCCCCCCTGACTCAGCCCGAACCCTCAGGCGTAATGCACTATGCTGATCCCAACCTACGGGACTCAGGGGCTGACCTCAAGGTGGCCCTTCTAACTTGACTAGAACAGCTCAGCTGAACCCTAGCAGGCTAGCTTCATGTTCGGAGAGCCACGGAATGCCTTCAGCCCCATCGTCATCCGCAAGGTGAGGACGGCGCAGGGGATGTTTGACAGGCCTGACAAGGCGCAGGGCAATTTGACCGCTGGGAGCATCACCATGTACGTGCCGCAGGATTCCAACCAGATTGCCGACAACGCGCTGGAGTGAGTAGAAGAAGGATCCTCCTGACTGCATGTGAAGTGGAAGGGTTGCTGAGTGATATCATGGCAGGTACTGGGGCATCAGCAACACCAACTATCTGGTGGGCACAGGGTACGCAGGAACGGGTTAGAAGAAGCCCCTGCTCAGAACCAGCTACATGTTCATGTCTATCATTGTCAAAGTAAACGATCTTAAACGGTTAGTTGGTGAGCTACAGGTAACATCTTATCGCAAGGTGGCCAGCATGGCCTCGAGCTGGGCCTGCATGGCTAGCACGTTCTGAGCTGCTTTCAGCCGCAGGTGCTTGGGGAGTTTAGCACATGCGTCAGGATTTGCCAGATTTACCTGAATCAACAAGTGAGAAGGAAGAGGAGACAGGAGAGGAGAGGAGAGGACACAAGAGAGGAGAGGAGAGGACACAAGAGAGGAGAGGAGAGGAGAGGAGAGGAGACGAAAAGAGAGGAGTAAGAGAACGAGGTAGAAGGCAAGAGGTGAGAACGAGCAAGGCAGGACGAGACGATGATTGAGACTTACTGTCTCCCCATTCGATGATCCAGTAGCGATCTCGAACGCGGCAATCTTGTTCTCCCCATCCATGATCATCTGCCATTCAAGTCAAAGGCCCTGGAGACCACCGAACCGAATCCTCGCCTGAGCTGTGGCATCTGAGTTCATCGTCGAGAGAGGAGAGCCTCTAGAAGACAGGATGGACTCTCCTCTCTTGGGCAGTCGCATGCAAGTGGCCAAGCCTGGTCCTCCGCCGCCATGTTGACCCGCGGGAGTGAAGGGAAGTGCGCTGTTGAAGATAGGTGTCTGGGGGACCTTGCTTGTTCCAGCCGCGGGGGTTGCTGTGATCGCGTTCTGTCGCGTTGCTCTCCTGGTGGTTCGCGGAGCAGGATCATTCTCCACGCCCTTGCCGCCATCGGAGTCCGAAATGTTGGAGATCTTGCATGTTCGGCGCGTGGTCCTCAGCACCGTCGTGGACCCGTTGGGGTTGTTGATGACTCGGAAGGGAGTCTGAGGGGGCAGGTCTGGCTCCTCCACCCTAGCCGAGTCAGAGCCACCAAACGTCTGAATGAGCTGCTGGAGCTCTGCAAGCTGTACGTCTGAGGAAGAAATCCCTCCCTGCGAGAAGAACTCGGATACTGTCATCCCCCTCACCTTCTTCGGAAGCTTCTCCAGGAGCATCTTGTATTCGCTCCTCACCCAACTTGCCATTCTCTCCGCATCGCTCTTCAGCATCTGACATCTCGAGTCGACTGTTTGAAAGACACGTTTCTAGTCAGAACATGAAAATCCGATCGCAAAATTTTCAAAAAATGCATCGCAACAAGCCCTGACTTTGTGATCTCAAGTGTGCCCCTCACAAGGATGAAAAAGCGTGCAACAAATACAGAAGAACACTCACAATCCTTGTCTTTCATGAACAACAATCGTTCATTTCATCAGAGTGCTGCAAAGGCTCTGCTTGCATCTTTGGAGCCACCATTCCACCAAGTCGGACATTTCATTCCACAAGAAGGAAAGAATTTAAGGGTGGAGAAACAACAAAACAGCCAGGATTTCATCAAGATCTCAACACACCTTCAACGTCGAGCTCTTCAACCAGTGCTTGCAGCTTCGCCTCTCCGTCATCCTGTCCCTCCTGCCGCGGCTTCCTCCTCACCGGCATGTTTTGAATTCCGAGCGACCGTTGGCACGCCGAGCCCGCCTCCCTCTTGAAGATTTTGGGTGAAACTCGATCCGCCTCAGGGAAGTTTTTAAATCGATTGTTTTTAATTTAGGATGGTTTGGTATTAAAAATAGTGACAAGAACGAATTATTTGCTATATATAGAAGGCGAAGCAGTGCCGGTGACGGGGCATTTGTTCTGAACGGTACAAACTAAAACTATATATCAAATTATAAGTATTTATCTCCATGTATACATAGATGTAAATGAATTTGGCACAGAGAGGACCGGGTGGTAGAGGTGGTAGAGGTGGGGGTCCCGGAGGTTATAAAATGGAGGTGGGGGTGGAGGCTTCGAGAGAAGCGGATAGCGCAAGGAGAACAATGGAGTGGTTGATGGGAGCTCAGGGAGCGGGAGGGATGCCGGGCATGAGAGCCATGGACTGGAACAGCCTTGGAAAGATGGACCAGCTCACTCCCCAGGTGCAGAGGCACCTTACCAAGGTCTATGCTGCCCTCTCGGGGGCGCTGCTCGCGGCTGTGCTGGGAGCCTACTACGGGTGGAAGTTTGCGGTGACCGGAGTCTGGACTCAGATCGCCTTGTTCGGATGCATCATTGGGCTGAGCATGATTCAAGGTGAGATTCATGATGGAGTGATAGTGCCTTGTGAACTTAGCGCTGTGAAACCGTGTTTGATAGCAATTTTTCGTAGATGTGTATAATCGGCTCATCGTTTTCCATGCCGCTGGCTTCCTTATGGGATGCAACTTAAGTCCTCTTCTGGCTATGGTCGCATTTCACAATCCTCAGCTGATAGTTACTGCTCTCATGGGAACTGCCATGATTTTTATATGCTTCTCCCTATCTGCAATGTACGCGAAGCGTCGTCACTTCCTTTACTTGGGAGGCATGCTTGGGTCCGCAATGTCGATTCTGTTCACCTTCAGGTCAGCATGTCATTCTCCTCAACATTAATCCCCCCCTCACCTCTTGTCCTCTGCGTGTCCCTCGCTCAATGACTCGCTTTTCCAGATTTCTCAACTTCATCATGGGTGGCACCTTGTCTGCTGGCCTTTACGAGATTGAGCTCTACGGAGGATTGTTCATGTTCATGGCGTATGTCATCTTCGACACTCAGATGATTATTGAAGATGCATATGCTAATCGCAAGGACTTTGTCGCTCATGCCATGGAGCTTTTGATCGGTAAATGCTGTTCATTGCCGCCGGTTTGACACTAACCTGTTCGATGCAAGATTTTGTTGCGATCTTTGTCAGACTCCTTGTAATTCTTACAAGGAATGCGGAGAGGAAAAGGGAAGAGGAGAGACGTAAGGAACGTCAATAACTGGAGCATCGTCTACGTTTTTTAGCATCCTGCTGTCGTGTGATTCAAAACTACGAATGAATTAGGAGAGTTTTTTTTATTTCTGCTGCATTTCTTGAACTACCAAAAGAGAAGGAACCAAAGAACGAAGAGGAGGAGGAGGAGACCGTCAAAGAGTGTCTTCACTTCAAATTCATCTCTTCTAGGATGGCATGTCACCAAATAGGGTCAACGAATGCATGGTTTCCGGGTTACAACACAATGCCACTCAGATTTTGGACAAGCTTCGATTCTCACGTCACATTTCTTCCTGCCAGATTTCATCTAGGACCTGAGAAATAGATGATCAGAAGGCCGGCATCAAGACATCCCGGAATCACGTACCGGAATCAAGTCGTGGAGAGGGATGGACTGGGAAAATTCACTCAATTCAGGATCTTCCATCTCATCTGCTATGTCCGCGTATCCCATGCTTCCTGTTCACGAAGCATTTTACAAGTCGAACCAAACTGAGTGGTGTTCGGAAAGCAACCTTTGGAGTTCCGCTCAGACTTGCGCTTGCTGTGCGCCAATTCCCTTTCTTCTCTCGTTCCACGCCACTCCCTTCTGACAGCTTCCCAGACGATGTAACCTTCCCACGCAATCAGATTGTGGAAATCCTATGTCAATCGTTCAAGACAAACCAATACCTTTGTTCAGAAAGTCTTCTTCATAGAACGGTCCAAGGAACGGAGTTGATTCATCCTCAGCATCGGACGATCTGGCTCCTTTAGCGACACTACAGGACCATCACAATCGATAAAGACTGTCTTCTTGACAACCTTGAGCCTTTCTGCCGACGTGATTGCTTATCAGAATCCTGTTTCAGATCTTAGAACAATCTCCAGCCCAGAATGTCCTTACCCTACTCCTGTTACGTCTTGTAGCCTCCTCTGCATCCTCTTGCCTCGTTCCTATGTATAATGCCCTCTTTCCATCACGAACTTGTGCGCCGCTTCCCAGAAGCCCCGTCGGAGTATATTGCGATCTCCCCTGCCCCAAGAGACACGTCAAAAACAACCATGGCTGCTAGCCAAGTGTCTAAGGGAGCAGCGGGCACAGCATCCCAGTCTTTCTGTGACAATTACCTTCATGTACTCGTGGATATGCATGTACTTGAAAACCTGCAAGGGTCTTTGATACGTTCCAAGCGACTCAGCGTTCATAACTTGCGTTCTCGCTCTTGTGAAACAATGTGTCAACGTTTACAGACACGCCCATTGTATGTACAACTCACTTGGAAGAAACGTCCCCTGCCCAACTATTATCAACATTCATTTCCAATGCGTGTGAGTAATCCGAAACTGAGACGTGATGGTCAAAATGATTGCCATACCGGTGAGTGCAAAACGAGACTTACTCATTGGATTGGCCGACATCTTAGAAAGATGACAAGAGGCTTACTTCTTTTCTTCAAATTATGCTATCAAGCTGTGGAATGAGAAGTGAAATGTCAGCGACCAATTCAGACGCTCTACAACTACATATCAACCCAACACCCGAAATACCGCAGATCAAACACGAACAAACTAAGAACCAGAAAATCGAACATGAACGATCAGACGTAAAGTAAAATTGGTATCAACAAAATGAGAATTCAGGCAGAGTCCAAGAATAGTTCTCGTCATTCAACAATTTTTGGATCCACAACAAGGCCCGGCACAGTCATTGGTGTACAAAGGAAAAATCAAACAAAATGAAAAAGAGCGAAAATCAGTGTAAGACTTGAGAAATGAACTTTACAAAGCAACTAAAAACATGATTATCTCGGCATTCGCGCCATTCCTCGCACTCTCACTCCTCCCTCCGCCCCCTCCACCTCCACATTGACCCACCAGCCTTGCATAGGCTTCGCGCCTTTTGCAGACTCCATAAGGAACCACGACGGTTCCTTATATTCACGGGATGGTTTCTTCACGGTTTCTTCTCGTGTTTCCTTATGGAGTCCAGCAAGCCCGCCTCATGCCATCGTCGGAACGCACCCACCCTTTACAATTTACCTACCCCACCTACCCATCATGTTCTACCAGCAAGATTTTTGAGGGCACCCCTACCTATCTCTCACCACCCCACCATTCTACGCCTGCTAGGTCGCTCCAACAAAGATTCCTACCCCTAGCCTCCTTTACACCGGTTTGTTCCTACATCTCACCGGTAGGGTAGAATGAGAAAACAACCGGTACTGAGTACCCCTTTCATCGAATTCGGGTCCATTTGATGAACGAAAAGACGAGATTCAGTTCCACCACCCATCCCATCCATGAGCGGCTGAACAAGCACTACCCTAGCAAAAAGTACCCCACCTACTCAATACAACACTGACTCTATCCTCATCTTATATCAAAAGCCACCCTACCCATGTCATAGGCACCCCACCCATCATCAGGGCTGCTTTCCTTTCTGCCACCCCAACAGATTCAGTACCCCTACCCTCATATAGAGTGTAGCGCCTCCCCACCCCAACCGTCAACCACCTACAATAAATACCACCCACCTTCAAGTCCAACAATGAAACATCTTATCTGGGATCACCCCTGTGATTCAGACTCAAGTACCCTAGGAAATGTTTACCCCCACCCACCACGAGAAATTTCTTACCCACCCCATGGACGGAGAAAACCACTACCCTACCCTTCAGACTAAAATCAAACCCACCCTCCCCTCGATCTCCCCCACTAGCACTGATTCCCGCATGCTAACTGCGAGGGAGGGTGGAGCAGTGGGAGGAGGCGACTTGCACAACTGAGCATAGTCGCATTCAAACTTGTTCCGTTCCTCCTACCCAACAGTTTCTTCTGTTTAGCCCTCTCCTCTTCTGTCTCGGTCTTGCAGTGCATTTTCACGGTACTGAGAACGCAAACGAAGCTATCAGGAGGCGAGCAGGGCAGGATTGTCCCCCTACCTTGCTGTAGGCCTTGAGAATAGGTGAGAAAGACTCTCGGCACGTTGCAGGTGAATGATTTGTTGATTTCCTAACATCCTTACCTTGTCCGTCCTGTTTCTTGCGTGCACGAACTTCCTCTAGTGCGAGATCTTGCAAAGAGCTTCTAGAAAGCTGCCCTCCTCCTCGCGCCAATTGTTCCATGTGTCCTGGTGTCCTGATTCTTGTACTAACGCTTAAATTAGCTGGAATCTAAAATGGTGCGGCGCATGAACCATCCAAAGTATGTGTCTTCATGCTGATGTGATTGGTTGCTGAGTTGCAAGTGCAGCTTCGGCAAGAACTTTGCGCAGCAGGCAAAGGGGGGCATCGCGCCTACCCAGCGCGGCAGGCTGGGTGTGAATCAATATAATAAGGTCAGTGGCCATGACTATCTCAGCGGTATGCTCCTTGACTTCCGGGATAGACATGGAGGAAATGGAAAGATACGAAAGTGTCCCGCGAACCCATGGTGGCGTGCGGTGTTTCGTATCGCAGTCCCGGGAAAGACATGAAAGCCATGGAGGTCCAGACTCAAAGAATTTGTCAGAACCTCAGCCAGCAGAGCGTGGAGTTCATGGCAAGACGTATGGTGCATCCGACGTTCCGTGTGAATTCCAGCAACGACGGTGTGACATCGTCACGAACGCACGATCTGGTCGCTTTTCGTGTGCTCTGCTCAATTTCACCAGTACATGCTCGATCCTTGAACAGAGGAGTCTGGACTGAAGGGCGGGTTCTTGTGCTCTCCCCTTCCTGGCAGAGATGTGAGATGGTGAGGCTGCTCTCCTCGAAGCCAAAGATGGGCGCGGAGGAGGAAGTTGACAAGGGCACGTTGGTCCTGCAAGATCGAGCCAAGCAACAGGTCTCACTGCCGTCCAAAGATTCGATGACATCGAGCTCGGATGAACCGAAGCCATCTTGGTTGGCAACCAAGTGGGCGCATGTGAAGCATGAAGCGTACCACTATTGGCTGGGAACGAAGTTGCTAGGGAAGGAAATCGGCATCTGTGTCGGCATCCTCAAGCAGATCTTGAGGGGGGAAGAGCTGTCTCGTCGTGAATATCGTCAGCTCAGAACGACGTCCACTGATCTCCTCAAGATGGTTCCATTCGCCATCATCGTGCTTGTTCCTTTCATGGAGCTAGCGCTGCCTGTCATCCTCTGGGCGTTTCCTGGAATTCTTCCTTCGACATTCCAGCAGGAGTGGAAGAAGGAGGATGATATGAAGAGGAAGTTGAAGGCTAGGATCGAAGTTGCTGGATTCTTGCAGGACGCGATGAACGACATGGCCAAGTCCATCAAGATGGTGGAGGCTGAGGACGGCACAGCCGAGAAGTTTGTCGAGTTCATGAAGAAAGTGCAAAGGGGAGACGCGAGGGTTTCAAATGACGAAATTATCAAGTTCTCCAAGCTGTTCACGGATGATATCACCCTGGACAACGTGGGGAGGATGCAGCTCGTAAACCTCTGCCGCCTGCTGGACATTCCCGTCTTCGGGACCGACTCCTTCCTCAAGTATCGCCTGCTCGAGAGGATGCGAGCAATCCGCAAGGACGACAGGATGATCGAGATGGAGGGCGTAGACTCCCTGAGCTTCTTCGAGCTCCGCGAGGCCCTCATGTACCGAGGGATGCGATCGGTGGGCCTTACAAAGTCTGCCTACAAGAACATGCTGGAGAACTGGCTTGACCTCAGCCTGAAGAAGAACGTCCCCACCACCCTCCTGCTCATGTCCAGAGCCTTCAAGATCACTCAGAATGTTGCGGACGAGGACGCGCTCAAGGACACGATCCAGGCCATGCCCAGCGCCGCTATGAAGAGTGCGGAGGCACAGGCCGCTGAGCCCGATAAGGTGGGGGGAGAGAGGAGGGTGATGGAAGAGTGGATTAATGGGATGTGTAGGTGCTGGAGGCCAGGAAGAAGCTGGAACAGATCCAACGCGAGCAGGAGCTGATCAAGCAGGAGAGGATCGAGAAGACGGAGATGATTCTTGCCGAGCTGCATTTGTCTGCTGGGAGGTGAGCTCACTCTGGGGTTTCGATCATTCTCATCGTGACCCTCTAGGTTCCTGGATAAGAATGCTAGCTCTTGGCTGCAAGACCGCATGGGTCAGATCACTCTGCAGATACAAGACGGTGCGGAGTCAGGGGAGAAGGATGGGAATTAGTGCTTGTGGCGAGGGCGAGGGGCGAGGGAAAGGTCGAAGAGCGTGCAGTGACGGTTTTGGTGGAGGGCTGGAAGACACCGTTTTGTCTTGCCGTGACTGTTGCTTGTCCTGCAGGACACGATCATGAAGGGGAAGCTTCTCCCGATGCGGAGAGCAAGGAGAACACGAAACTCGCCAACATGCGAATTCAGTTCAGCATGTTGGAAGACCAGCTGCTTGACACTCTCAGAGAAGCTCTGCAGCCCAAGTGAGTGGGAGTAGAAGTAGGATGATTGATACCTTGACGTTACTGAGACGAGTGCCCGAACCCCTGGAGGAGAGATGAGAGGAGCAAGGTTCACTGACGGTCCTGTAACAGGTTCGATAAGCTTGACTTGAAGTCAAAGCAATACTTCTCAATCCTCCGGGCCGAGCTGGACTCGAGAAAGGAGGTTCGAGCGAGGAGGAGGAGGATACGGGAGGAAAGCCACTCTTACAACTAGTCAACAGGAGCTGATTCAAAAGATGCTTGCTGGGCCTGAAAAGGAGACGGCCAAGCTTGAGGCAGGAGAAGGCACGGAGGAGGTTCAGACAGGTAGCCGCCAGCATGCACGTGAGGCCACCGGGCTGAAGAAGATCTAACAATCATATGCCAACAGCACAGGTCAGGATGGAACAGGATGTTGTTACCATCGACGCCGTAGCTGCTGAGGTGGAAAGGAGGAGGGGGGAAGGAGTGAAGCTGAGATGACGCAACAGGAGAAGCCAAAGAGCATCCCAGCTACGAGCGAGGCGAAGCACGAGGCTTCCCTCGACTACAAGACCCTTGCGGAGGTTGCTGACGTCATCATGCTGCTGGCAAGTAAGCAGGGCGCGACGACGGAAGAAAGAGAGCAGGTAGGACGACCAAGAGGTTGAGGACTGGCTGACGCTGGTTCAGCTCGAAGACTTGAGGTCGCAGACTCGGCACACGGACGAGGAGCTGGCGAGCATTGACATGAGGGACGAGAAGCTGACGGGGAGAAAGTACGTGAACGCCCTCATCGCTCTTGCTCGTTATCGTGCTCATCCTCATGGCGCGCTCGTGGTGGTGGTCAAGTGACTGTGTGCTCTTGCAGGGAGACGAAAGCTGTTCAGATCCTCAGGGATCGGGTAAGAGCCTTCGATGGAGCCTCCCATTGCTAGCGGCGGCCCTCCGCTCACTCCGCTGCAGGTGAAGATGATGATGCGGAACTTGGACCACGACATCTCGCGGGTCGGGCATGAGGTGCTGTAGCAGCTGCTGTAGGAGAACAGGGGAGGGCTGAACGCTGGAGTCCCCTGGCAGATCGGGGACAAGTTCTACTTGATCGACAGGGATGGCGATGGGATCATCTCGGAGGACGAGCTCAAGGATGCAATTCAGGTTTGTCAGGCAGAGAGTGAGCGAGCGAGCAGACTGACGTGCTGCCGACCCTCCAGGCTGTGCTCAAGAAGAAACTCAACTCGGAGGAGCTGGCCGCTGTCATTGCTTTCCTCGACGTCTCCCGGGTACTTTGTTGTGGAGCAGGAGTGTCATTCTCATCCCTCCTATCTTCAGGACGGGAAGATCGACATGCTGGATGTGCAGAAGATCGCTCACTCATTTGCCAGCGCGAGGCACGAGGTAGGAACCAGTGCTCCCCGTCAGCTCGTGACCTTGTCCGCAGCTGCTGACTAGTGAGGAGGGAATCGCGCATGTCAAACTCCCGGAGTTCATGAACGTTAGCAGACATCTCCGTCCTTTTCCTCGCATCCTGTCGCTATCAGCTGCCGTTTTCTATTCTCCGTCCCTCCTCTGCCTTTTCTTCCCTCCTCCCACTTCACCTCCTCTGTGTTCCTCGCCTGCTCCTCCGCATGTGTGTGCCCTGTGCTTCCCTGCTGCTTTTCTCCTTCGACTTCCTCCTCTTCGAGTTTCTCACGCTGGGCTCAGCAACCCGTTGAGGATCTCACGGACACGCAAGCTGCCATGTGGGGAGCACTGCTGGAGGAATACAGAGACAAGGTGAGACGAGAGAGAGCTGGAATGGCTGGGCAGAAGCTAAAATTCTCCAGATTCGGGAGCAAAAGCAGCTGCTTGATACGGAGAAGCGTCTTGAGGTGGGAGGAGGGGAAGGAGGGGTGGACTCGGGATTCACTTTAGCTGCAGAAGGAAAGATTTGCCAAGGAGAAAGCGGCGCTCGAGGAGGCGAAGGCAAGTTCATTGAGGCTCTGTTCCGAGCTTACATGCTTGCAGGCATTGAAGGAGCAGGCGACAAAGGAGCAGGCAGGAAAGGAGCAGGCGCGGGAGGGCGGTGCATGATTGAGAAATGAACGTTGAGATGGAGGATTCACAAGGCATGACCACAGTGAGAACAAGATAATGCAGCAGGACACAATAGAGCAACATTCAGCAGGTAGCAAAGCAAACTGAGAAAGAGAAATGAAATTATTTGCAAGTCAAGGAAGTCTATTCCACCTCTCAGATTAAAAGTTTCACTCGTCGTCCATGTCCTCCTCCAGCGCTTTCTTCGCCTCCTCCTCAGCTTGCTGCAAGCATGTCAATCAGCCATGTGAAGGTGAAAAATCTGCTCGCACTCAACCTGAGCAAGCTCCTTGGGAACCATCTTGTGCTTCCATCCCGATTCCTCACATATCCAGCTACACAATTCAAGTCAACAATCAGCACACTCCCTCGCCTCCTTCACCAACCTCAACTCAAGCTCGAAGTCCTTATCCTTGACGTCATCGTGGACTGAGTGGATGATCCTGGCGACCTCCTTGAGCACTTCTCTGCATGTCGTCTCGTTCAACTTGATCTTCTCCATCTCCACCTTTGCCGGCTGCTTCCCCTTGCCGATCGCGCAACCAAAGTAGTTGTAGGTCAACCCCGAGGGCTCAATCATCCAGAGGAAGGGTCCATCCTTGTCCACTCCGCCGATCAACACCGAAGCTCCGAAGGGTCTCACAGACCAGTACATTGTGTACGCATGCACAAATCCAGCTACTCTCTCCGCTAGAACTTTTCCTGGGATGGGCTCTCCATAGAACTCCTTGTATGAGGCAGCTTCATCGCGCGCCCTGTTCACAAGTTGTCTTCCATCTGCCAGCAAACCAGACACAGCCATGCCAACATGATCGTCGACGGTCAACAATCTTCGGCTAGAACCCTCAACCAGCATCTTCGAGATGACCAACTTTTCGAAACCCAACACAACCCCATCCTTGCAGCGGACGCCTACAGCAGTGCTGCCAACAGGATGTCAGAACAGTACACGCTTCTAGCGTACACTTACCCACTACTCTCCACAGCTTTCCCAGCATATTCTACCTGAAACACTCTCCCATCTGGCGAGTAACTTGTAGTGTACAAGTCGTACTGTCATGTACAGTCAGCGTTCACACAAAGGAAATGATCTTTGAAACTACTGAGTTCAATCGCTCGTCTTCATTTACAAGACACAAACGCATCTTCAAACTTTCAAGCTAGATTGACCTACCTACATTCTCATTCTATGGTTAGCCACATACTGCCGAACCCTTTCACCTAATCAATTGTAGCAACAGCAGCCACATTTTCATTTCTGACCATTAAAGAGGAACACGCGAGAAGAAAAACAAAGATGTCCGTTCTCCCCTGGTTCCAACCACAGCATGACAGCGAGAAGGACCAGAATCGTCTCTCCTCTCCTCCTCTCTCCCTATCGAATCCACACCTCTCCTTCAATCTACTTCCTCCTTGTCACATACTGTGTTAGATCATCTTCTTCTCCTCCTCCTCCTCTGTCCTTCTTCTCCTCCTCCTCCTCTCTTACCCCAGTGCCGATGGAGCTCATTGCCGCCGGATGGAGATGGACACCTGGCCAGTGTTCGTTATGTGATCGTTACATAGTTCGTTATCACGACGTTTTAACGAGACCGTGCAGTGAGCGCCGGTTGCGCCGGTACCGTAGCCTTAAAAAGGCCCCGGCGAGGCCGGGCCGCGGTGTGACTCCCGTACGGTCCGATCCGATCCGATCCGGGCCGATCGGACGGGCGGGGTCGGGGCTTCTTCTTGCAAACTGCTGAGCGTCTCATTCGAATCCGAGTGCAACCCCATTTCTGACAGGCTCGAGTACCCGACGGTGCCAGTGACCGGCCGCGGCGGCCGCTCCCGCCCGGGCGGCCGGGCCGGACGGTGAGTCACTGTCAAGCCCGGCCGGGCACTGAGCCTCCGAGCCCCCCGGGTGTTGAGGCAACTGATCAGAGCAAGCCTCATGACCTCAGGTCATGTCAACTGAGCACTCCCGGAGGGCCGCCTGAGCCTCCGTCGATGACCGTGTGGCTCTGTGCCGCACTGACCGTCAAGCCGCTCACGGACTGAAGGACAGCAACAGCTACCAGGTTGAATAGGGACGGCGACGTAGGAGGATCACGAAGAAGACAGCAAGAATCTAGGACCCATGGAGAACAGCACTGATGTGACTGGCAGGAATAACGGCTGAGAGCAACTATGAGTCAACTCGACAGGAAGCGTTGGATGAGAATCGAAGACCGTCTCATCATGTCAAGGCGGCCTATGACTCTCTCCACGGTGACTGCCGGGAGCCTCCAGGCTAATCAGTAGTCACGGTGATGGGGCTAGGACGGTCGGACTTGGACCGGAGTCCGATCGAAGGACCGTACGGGGCATCAGTACGGTAGTACGGTACTACGGTAGTACCGCAGACTCAGTACGAAGCCTTCTGGCAACATCGGCAGTGATCGCAAGTATCATCACCGTATACTCAGATACTTCAAGTGACTGTCTACTTCGTGTGAGGAGAGAGTTCCAATGGAAATCTCGACATATTCTAAAATTTTGGGCCGCAGCGCCTCACCGGGGGCCGGGCCTCGGAGTGCCAGATGCCTGTTCAACGGTTGTCATTTACATAACAGGCTTGTAATCAGTCACTTGAGGATATTCAGTCTCAAGACTTTGGGGATGTGACTTTGGGTGCGGCCGGGCTGGCGGGGCGGCGGGAGCTGAGCCAATCCGGCGAGCCCGGCCGCGCCGCGCGTTCCGAGTGACTGAAATGGCATTACCGGCCGCAGTGTGAAGGTGACTCAGACCGCGGACGGTGAAGTGACCCGGGGTGACTCCGGTGACTCTGGCGTATCAGCGGCCCCGCCGCCGACGGACTCGTGACTCGGTCCGTTTGGCGGGCCGGGCGCGGCCCGGCCGTCGACTCGATCATCGGATAACTGCATTGAACATCTTTGAGTAAAGAACATCATGGCCCGGTGTAGTTACTGCACGGCACGTTTTTAGTCTGAAACCTTAGTAGTCACCAGTACTAGTAGCTAAAAAAAGAAAGCGCATTCCCCCTTGACGTCTACGTGACAACGATGTGGGGCTGCTCCTACTGCGAAGTGAGGAAACAGTCTGGCAGCGATGAGACGCTTGTTTGCTTGACCTGCACGTTTGATGGAGATGCTTTCTTTGCTCGTCTACACTCACATCCTCATATCATGCTCCTTCCGCTTCTGACTCGACAGGCTCCAGATTGGGCTCATTGGGCTCCAGTTTGGGCTCCATTCAAGTACCAACGACTTCACAACATGCGTAATATCAAGGGCTGCAAGGGGATCGATTTGCTGACATTCAATTGTCTTCATGGCGTTTCCACATGTGTGAATGGGCGAGATAGGCGGTAAGTAGTATCTTTATTGGAACTTCCCATTGTCTAGCTGACATGTATCTTCGCGTTTTGGCCGGTTTTCAACCTGGATGGTCGTCGTGAATGGGACTGGATAGAGTGTAAGTTAAAATTTCGTCATAAGCATCCAGGGGATGATGAGACTGACATGTACTTGTGTTTTCATGGATGTTTCATCGGACGGGTCGTGAATAGCGTGTAAGTTATCATCATGACGATTTGGCTCGCTGAACTGTGGTGTTGCAATGTCTGTCGTTTGTCATCGGATGGGCGATGAATTGGGCATGGCCAGCGGGTAAGTCAAGATCCGATAAAATGCGCGGTCAGGGGAGAATTAAACTGACATGTACTTTGTTTCATCGGATGGGTATGGATGGGGCTGGATAGGAGGTAAGCGAGCATGAAGAAAGATGAGTTAGAGATGGATAAGGACTGACATGCATTTCGCAAACTCCATTGTTTTGGCTTGAATGGGCCATGAATGGGGCTGGGCCGATGACAGCCGGTAATTGAGGAAGATGAAAGTTGTGCTCAACGATTGGCTGACGTGCTTTTGTTCTTTTCGAAAATGAAAATCGCTTCTGGCTGGAACTGGAAACAATTGACTGGATAGGGAGTGAGTAGCATTTGCAATGATGCGGTCATGTTTACATTGCATGTTTTTTCTTGAAATCTTCTTGTCTCGGTTCGCATGAAAACCTATGCTCCGGATAGTTTGTAAGTGCCTTGTTGAAAGAAACAGTATGCTGACACGTATCTTTGAATCGGTTTGGGGTGTGAATGGGGCTGGATAGGCGGTAAGTGAGTATGATGAACGATGCGTTGAGGAGACAACAAGCTCAACTGACATTTGATTTTGCTTTTTCTGTCGTATTTTCTGTCGCTTGGGGTGTGAATGGGGCTGGTTAGGAGGTAAGTTATAATCATGAAAGAAGCGGAACTGACGTAGTGTACTTATGTCTTTTCGTCGATTATTTGCGAATTTACTGTTGGTGGGGCTGGATAGAAAGTGAGAATCGCTCAGGGAGCCGTATGTTGGCTGACTTGTATTTTTGCAACTTCCTTCACTTTGGGCTGCTCGGCTGAGGTGCGAATGGGGCTGGATAGTGGGTAAGTAGCGATGATGAAAGATGCGTTCACAGAACGATAGGGACTGACGTGTACTTGGATTGTGTATTTATGGGTTTCTCATCGAATTCATTGTTGGTGCGGCTTGATAGAAAGTAAGTGAGGACGATGAAAGATGCGCTCGGGGAAAAATGTTAGCTGACATGTATCTTTTCCATTCGGTTTGTTGCTGTCATGATTTGGGTTCTAGTGCTGCATTTGCTACCTCGACAATAGGTCTGAAGATGAAAGGCAAGCATACATGTGTCAGCACTGCAAGGATCGACGCTCGTGCATGCACAGCCTTGAGCAAGAACTTGCATCAGAAAGACCCAGCAGGCAGGACGCCATCGCTAAGATCGAGGAGGTCCGCAAGCACGTTAACAACGTGGGAAAGCAGTTTGCCGGGAGACTGGACCTGGTCAAGTGTCATTACATCTTCGGTATGCAAGAGATAGATACCTCTGCTGTCGATGAAGTGAAGCAGCTTCTGTCTGGGGGGGAGCTCGGGAGCTGCTACAACAGCAAGGAGGGTGAGCTTGACATGTCTATCAAGACGGACAGCATGACACGATATGTGATACGAGATCTGAGAATGAAGAGCCTGCCTCCCTGGATTGCCGATCTCGGCATCCCTCTTCGAATTATCAACGTGTCCGGCAACCCCAGCCTCTCTCGCGTTCCCTTGGATGAGCTGTGCAGCATGGAAGCTAGCCTGAAGGAGGTCAAATGTGAGAACTGTATCCGCCTACAGGTGCCTCCCCCCGAGATCGCCAGGCAGGGAGGGGCAGCTGCCCTCAGGTACCTGCAGAGTGTCAAGAGAGACGGCGAGGCGAACAAGCGGATCAACCTCGTCCTCATCGGCAACGGAGAAGCAGGCAAGACGAGCGTCCTAAGAGCTCTGAGATCAGAGGAGGACAGGGCGGACAAGATCGAGGTAGACAGGAGGACGATCGGGATAGACCTGCACGAGTGGAGGCCCGAGGACGCTGACGGGCTGACGTTCGACGTGATGGACTTCGGGGGCCAGCAGATCTATGCCAAGACGAACCAGTACTTCATCGTGAGGCGGGCCTTGCACCTACTGGTGTGGAACATAAGGGCGAAGCGAGACGAGCAGAGAAGTGCAGACGACAGCGAGGAGAGCATGGAAAAGCTGAAGAAGATGATCTCTACATGGCTGCGAGCTACTCAAGCGCGAGTGCCGGGAGCGAGCATATTGTTGGTAGTAACGCATATCGATCTTGCGGAGGCAGGAGAGGTGGAGCAGCAGTGTGAAGAGGTGAAGGCATGCGTGGAAGAGGAGCTGAGGAAATTGGCAGAGGATGGAGATGAGAATATCCTGCCATTACATGTGATCAACGGAGGCAAAAGCGTCAGGGTGAATTGCCTTGAGGGAGAGGGGATCAAGGAGCTGCGGCAATTGGTGTGTGAGAACGCGAAAGAGCTGCTGTGGTGGGAGGAAAGAATTCCTCGATCTTATCTGAGACTGAGAGAAGCTGTGGAGAATCGAAAGTTGGAATCTGTTTCGTACCTCAAGGTAGAGGAGTACAAGAACATGTTGGAAGAGTCAGGAGTCGTCGAGAATGAGCACAAGGTGGCGACAACCTTCCTGCACGACATGGGCGTGCTCAAGTACTTTGGTCATGAGCTGAGTCTCGATCATCGCAAGGCAGACCATGACAAGTACTCCGTCGAGGACACGGTCTTCATCGATCCCGTGTGGATGATCGACGTGTTCAAGGGCGTGATGCGACATGACTGGCAGCACCTCCTTGACTTCTTCCAGCAGGACCCGACCAAGTCCAAGAAGACAAAGAAGCTGCTGCACCTGGGTATCATCGACGAAGTCATATTCGAGTACTTGTGGCCCCAGCAAGACAGCGACTTCTGGCGCGAGGAGAAGGCTGACAAGATATCAAGATCGGCAGAGGTAGGGTTCATCAAGAGCCATGTGGACGTCAAGGAGGCGGTAGCTCTGCTTCGGGGCTGCGACCTGGCGCACTTCCTGGGCGAGGGGATGAACGACTTGAAGGATACAGACAAGAAGAGCAGAGAGCTGCTGTGTCCCGGCATCATCCCGTCGTTCATACATGAGCACAAGCGAGCAGTGACGGACAAGCAGTCTCTCTGCGCATCTGTCGAGTGCGAGTACAACATCTTCCCTGCCGGCTTCATCGACAGGCTGGTCGTGCTGTGCGCTGCTCGACACTTTGAGGTAGACTGCAGCGGTACGATGGCGGTGATGAAGGGCTGGGGCCGGACGCTGCTGGTGAGCTGGCGGGAAGACAAGGACCAGCACGTGCTGATAGCAGATGCGTCGACTAAGCAGCAAATCAAGAACTTGCAAGAGGACTTGAAGCGACTAGAGGCTTTCTTCCCGGGGATGAAGCGGAGGAGATACGCAGACAAGAGCTCAGGCCAGGAGGCCGTACAGGTTGGGATCTTCACGCATGGCGAGAGCTCAAGAGAATGTGCGAGGGATATTGCAGGAAAGGTGAAGAACATTTACAACGCGGAGAACCTCCCTCTAGATCTTACTTGTAGGATTCATCAATGTGACAACAAGCATGGGGATGATGCTGATGAATGTCTTGTGAACATTTTATGTATATCGACAGAGTGTCTTGATGAGCAGGGAGCTATTCGAGCAGAAAGCAACTTCTGCAAGCTATGGAACAGATTGACAGCGAGCAAAGCGGTTATCATCCCCGTCGTACTGACAGATTACTACGACGAGCAAATCAAGTCGAAGAACAGGTTCAACGAGTGGTGGCCGCAGGAGATACAAGGGATGGAGCGATACAGGATCTTCCACGCATACCAGGAGAACGATGAAGTATCGATGCGAACGTTGTACGAAGGCATCATCAGGAAACTTCATCAGGGACGAGGAAGCTTCGAAGACTTGTACGACGTCACCAGTCAGAACGAGCTTCTGTGCAAAGATTGCTTACATGAGTCTCAACCTGCCTCCAAAGGCGATCGAACTGTTGGCACGTTTGATCTGTCGAAGATCAAGACGATGCTAGAAGAAGAAAGCAAGGGTATTGCAGACACACCGCAAGGGCTCGAGCAGGAAGATATCCTCAAATACAAGGTCATGATGAACACGATCAGCTGCACAAATGGTCATGAAACATCCGTCAAAGAGGTGCTGGCATTCAATGACTCTAGCTCCCCTTGTCCCCTCTGCTTGAAGGAGAAGAGACTCCCGCACTTCTTCAGCCGACCCAAGTGCTTGAGCATGCTCGCTCGCGACCTGACGGCCAAGATTCGCTGCGACGGATGTCAGAGGGAGGTGGAGGTGCTGGACGTCACGCCGCCACAGGTGTTCTTGAGCTACCAGTGGGGGCACGAAAACTCGACGCAGAAGATGGTGAGGGAGGTGAAGCGGTGGATCGAAGAGCAGACAAGCTTGCAGTGCTGGTTCGACGTGGAGGGAGGGATCAACCCCGGGGAAGATCACATGCAGAAGATGGAGCTGGGAGTCTCGCGCTGCGAGGTGTTTGTGGTCTTCATGAGCGACAAGTATGTCAAGAGCGCCAACTGCAGGAGAGAGTTTGCTCGGGCGTGTGAGGCAGGGAAGTACATCATCCCTGTCTTGGTGCCGGTGCTGTTTGAACCAGGTCAAGACTCAGATCGTTTAGAGTCCGAGTCAGGCTGGAAGGGCGACCACAGGCATGCAGACGACTGGTGGAAGAGAGTTGCAGTCATCGAGGGGAGCGGAGGAGCTGTTCAAGAGGTCAAGGTCGATTGGAGGCGTCTGGCGGACTTCCCAAAGACCTTTGAGATTGGAGCAGAGTGGCTAGAGCAGCAGCAGCAACAAGACAAGGCCGAAGGCGGTTTGAACATTTCAAGGCTTGAGAAGCTGGTGGCAGCAGTGCAGGCAAGGGTCTACCGGGGAGGGGTCGTGTTTCACGAGGTTGCTTGTTTGGTTGTGGCTGACTTGGGCTTGACATGCGATGAGCAGCAGGAGAACTCATTGCTGAGGTCGTTACATCGCCAGAAGCATCTGTTCGACTGCATTCTCCGTCGTATCAACTTGATGCAGTCCAGATTCCAGACGAAATGATCTGTGGCACGCTTGCTTGAAGGGAGACAAGGTCGATTTTTACATGATAGCTGGGTTGTGTGTGATGAACCTTTGCAGATTCCTTCTCACATCCTTGTGCAATCATGATGTCTGTCTATCCGATCAAACTTCTTCCTCCTCACCTAATTCGTCATTCATCATGTTGCCCTCGATCAAGGAGACAGCAAGATGATTTATTCAGGAATGAGACGACAATCTTTGACGTCATCACCATATCTGGGGCGTCCTCGCCTCTGATGAATCCTTGCGCAACATCTCATCCAGCCTTATCAATGACCATGTCGAAAACCGCATTCACCAAGATCGCATACTACTCCAACTCAACAATTCTGACTTCCTTCCTATACATTGCTCCTTCGCACGCAAAAACCAACAAGAAACCAAGACACTCAAGAAAACAGCTTGTGACCTCTTCCTCCGACAACTTGAAGGCACACGAATACCAGAAGTTTATCAATGACCCTACTGACTACACACCCGTCTCTTATCTCGTACAAAAGACCTCCTTTAAGGCCGCTAACAAAGAAGACCTGCTCCCTTCCCTTGTCCGCACTCTCAGTCAATTCCTATGATGCTCCAACAAATACTCTGATACCCTTGCACTCCTTCAATCCAATGCATCGGTGTCGCCTCTCCACGTACCTATCGGCCGTCATTCTCGCAAGCGCGCAGCAACTTTTCAGCGTCTCTGCATGCAACTGACCCTCACCGCGCTTGTCTCCGGCGCTCGCCGGATGACGCCGCTCAACGCTCAAGCGTTCAGAACAGCTACTCTCCTTGCAAGCCGACGACGAGCCGCTCGGCTCCCAAGATATGGCCCCGGCGCCCAGCTCGGACTCATCCGCTTCCTCCTCCCAGCCGTCGCTCTCTCACCAGCCGCCGCTGGCCCCTCCCAATCCTCCCGCTGCTTGATCGCAGCGTCTGCTCCCGCCGTTGCTTCCCGGTCGCAGTCCAGCTCTCAGGGCGCTGCTGCGGTAGCTGCCTTGGCCGCCTCGCCTGGGTCTCTCCCCGGCGAGGCGCGCCGGCTCCGGACGGTCTGAGACGCTCCGGAGGCTCTCGTCGGACTTGTCTGGAGATCAGTCTCCTCAGTCCGACAGGTCCGATTACATCTCCACCTCTGCTGGAACCCCTTAGGACGGCGCTGCTGAGCTGGAGATGCCGACGGTCGCCGCATCCATGGTCCGCGCATTGTGTGTGTTGTGAGCTTCGACCTTCGGATCTTGTTGCTCGTATGCTTGAGGCAGCTTTGTGTGTTTTGCTTTAATAATAAATTTCTACATGTTTTGAACATGAACCCGTACTCCACCACCTCCAGCAGAGAAAGCTCGGCGTTGAGGGCGGAGACCTTGTTGCGCATGTATCCCGAATGAAACTGGTCGGTTCCAACAGGGAGCCCACCAAGAACGACCCCTCGCGTTGTGACGGGGAAGTGAAGAAGCTGGCGCTTCAAGCGTCGAGTCAGGTCTTTCTGCAGAGCAGACAGGTTGGGGAGACCATGCCAAGATTGTATGAAGATCTGAGACTCCCTAGACATTGAACGGCATCACATTTACTTCTAACGGTACGATAACTCACCGTCACGGTGGCCACGGTTGTGACCGCCGGGCACTAGTTACTGGACCACCGTCGGAAGTTTCAAGCTTCTCATGTCACAAGCCTCGAAGCTTCCTCTGAGCCATGCGCATGTCAATCCCAAGGTCGCTCAGATCCTTCTCCATGGCTTGCAGAAGCAAACCTTGCTCATGCGGAGACACTTGAGATCGTAAGAAGGAGCTCAGCTCGTTCAGCCTTCGACGATTTTGAATGTTCTGGACAACGTCAAACGTCGCGAAGACATCTCGAGACTCATTCAATCGACAGCTCGCAACGTGCTGATGTGCATCTTCTCCGCAGTCCTGCATGCAAAAGGCACAAAATGCACAGCGGCAAGAAGAGCATGTCAGCGCACAACAGCCGTCGAAGTCGACGAACGCCATGGAGCATCGCGGGCACTTGAGCGTCAAGATGTCTTCTACGATTCGCTGTCTGAGCTTCAGTATGTTCGAGTCTTTGGCTTCCTTTACGGCCCTCAGAGCCTCTTGATGCGTCCGATCCTGTTCGCGCAAGGCTTCTCTGACCAGTACCCCTTCTCGTGCCTTCAAGTATGCTTCGAAGGCCTCGGCAGACAAGTGCTGAGCCCCCTCTTTGACATCGAAGATCGTGAAGTCTTGACATTGACGGCATCTCACGAACAGACCGCTGTTGTCAAAGTCTGCTGCATTGTTGGGAGAGCACTGCTCGATGACTTCATGGTTCAGGCAATCTGAGCACAGAAAGTGCTCGTTGTTAAGACATCGCAATCCTTCATTGGATTGAAACTCGTCCCAACAGACGGTGCATACCTGCTTTGATTTGGCACCTTGTGGAACACGGCGTTCCAGAGTTTGTATCACATTCCTGTGTTGCAGCAACTGATTCTCAACAGCTTTCAACACATCGTCATCTATCTGCAGGGCCTCCGTCTTCTTGAGAATCGAATGCAGCCTTGCCTCTCCGTCATCGCATGCGCAGTACAATGCCTCGATGCTTCTCAATTCATGGAGCACGGAGAGTACGGAGGACAAACGCTTGGGATACTTGTCAACAGCAAGAAAACAGAGGCCTTGCAACTTCTCGATGCAACCTGCATCCCATGAACCGGCTCGACTATCAGCCAAGATCGGCTCTTCCTCCTCGAAGTATTTATCATACAAGTTGATGTCCTGGTTTTGAATCTTTCCAGTGAGCATCTCGAGCAGCACGATGCCGAGAGAGAAAACCTCACACTTGGCATCGAAGTCGATCCCTCCTCGGCTGTAACGGGGACACATGTACCCAGGAGTGCCGACTGGCAGGTTGCAGGTGGATGTGACAGTGAGCGAACTTCTGTCTACTCCGACAAACTTGGCGAGCCCGCAGTCGATGAGCTTCGGAGAAAGACTCGATGTGAGTACAACATTGTCACTCTTCACATCCCGGTGAAACACAGGCTTCGCGTCGTGAGAATGTAAGTAGTTGATCGCCTTTGCCAGTCCACAGCTGATCTGAATTCGTAACTTCCAAGTCAGTTCCTTCGAGAGATTGTCGTCCTTTAGATTTTGAGCAAGAGAGCCCCTCGCTCCCAGCTCATACACCAGGCAAACATGTGCGGGGCGTCCACGTTCCCCAGCATCTTCAGCATGATCCACAGAATAACCGATCAGTCTGATAATGTGTGGATGTCGAAAGCGGCTCAAGACGCTGATCTCTTTCTTCATGTGCTTGTCACCATGGTCGGCAAGAACATCTCGATTCAGCATCTTCACAGCAACAATTCCTCTGAAGGGTCGGACGGTGAGCAATGAGTCGACCACCCCCTTGTACACCTTGCCGAAGGCTCCTTCTCCCAAGACTCTGTCTTCGCTGAAGCCATCCGTCCACTTCTGAACACAAGGAAGAGGGATGACTGCTACTCGATCGTTCAAAACATCTTCTACCAGCTCCTTCTCCAAGGTCTCAGTCACGCTGGGCTCTTGCTGCTCTGCTACTCCACAACCCCTGCATGCCTCGATGTTCTTTCGCTGTTCGTTCACTCTCGCTTCAATTTCCTTTCGCCTCTCTTTCTCTGGACGATCGTTTGATCCGATGGCCTCCTTCCCACCTTCGTTCCGAACTCCGATCGCATCCTTCAAAACTTGTGGTGCATTCTGGCGCTCCTGACGCCCTTGTCTCTGGACGTGACCCTGTCGCATCTCCCGCACTCGCTCTCTTTCATGCTCTGCTCCTTGCCGTTCACGTTCTCTCCTGCCTTTGCAGAAACTGCATGCATACTTTTCGTAACTTCCATCCACCCATCCATGTCTTTGCTGAGACACGTCGGCACAATTGCAGCACCAGTAATCCGTGGGGTCCTTGGAAACCTTTACACCATTGCAGTACACATCACCCCCTCTTCTTCGGAAACCCCATGTACACCCCAGCTCTACATCAGCTGGAATATGAGAACCCATTCCCCAGTTGACACGACAACCACACGTTCTGCCAGGATCTTTGTTGTACGCATTGTAGATCTTGCAATGGATCATAGCGTGGGGAGCCTGGAGAATGCAGACGAAGACTCTCAGGTTCTC